TTATTTGGTGTGGCAATCTTTATATAGAAGTCCGAAGCATTTTCAGCGTTCAACCAGTCCAACTCCCTCCTCTCGTACGTAGAGACGTCTGTGGCAAACCAAGGAAATTCCGTTGCCCCCTCCACTACTGTCCAAGCTTTCTAGACTGTTGCTGGGACCTCTTCTAACTCTGCCACATCTACATCGTCGTAGGAGGTGCCGCTTCAGATCCCCACCGTAGTACAGCCGACTGTTGTCCCCCATGTCCTGACAGCTACCGAAGAGCAGCTTGTTAGGACGCTCACTAGCATTCAGCGGGGATGGTTGGACTACAAGCACACCTCGCTCAGGTTGGGAAGACTCAAGCCGCTCAGGCCGCGTTTATCGCTTCCCAAGCAGCTCAAGCTGCTCACACCGTTGCGACACCCACTATCATCTCTCATCCTCCACCTATTCCTGAGCCTAACAGAGGCAACAGGGACAAAGGGCTGCTGATCGCCCACTTGCTGAAGTCCCGATGGACGTTCACTATCAGTCCCTTCATGATAGCACTTTGATCACCAGTTCTGCGCCCAGAGGCTCTGGGAATTATGAGGTGAAGCCAGCGCTTGTAAACCTGGCCAGCCAGAGCAAATTTCATGGGCTGCTCAATAAAAGTCCATGTGATCATCTGCAGAACTTCAACAGGATCGCCGCTACCTCCAAATCACACGGCATCACGGAGGACGTTGCAAAGCTAAGTCTGTTTCCCTTTTCTCTATCAGGAGAGGCAAGGAATTGGTTTGATAACCTCTACCCCGTTTCTGCCACTTTCAAGGAAGCAACGCAGGCCTTCGTGAGTAAATATCATCCTATTTCAAAGACCATCAGCCAGAGAAATGAGATACTGAGTTTCAAGATGGCTGGTGACGAGACCCTGCCCAAAGCCTGGAGCCGCTACAAGAAGCTGCTCTGCAATTGCCCTCATCATAAAGTTCTTGACTTTATAGAGCTTCAGATCTTCTACTCAGGGATCACTCCAGATTTGAGGATGTCTCTGGGTGTAGTGGCAGGTAGCTCGCTTATGGGACGATGCACTTCAGAAGCGAGGGCTTCGATTGAAAGGATGACGAGCAAATCAGGAGTTCCAACGTAATAAATCTGCCTCGATCAAGATGCTGAAGATTCAGGTCGGGCAGATAGCCAAAGCTATGAAGCTGTAGTAGAAGGGGACGTTGCTTGGGACATCGAGACTGTCCCGAACCAAGCGAAGACTGTCGAAACAAAGGGTGGAAAGCGGACGCAATCGCCACCACTGCCAGACAGAGGTATCAACTTCTCTTCTACTCCTATTGTTGCTAATTTACCTATGCAGGATAAAAATAGCCGAATCCCAAATAAGAAAGAAGGTCCATCCCAGCCACGAGTGACACCAGCCGCTCGGGTACCTGAACAGACGGAAAAAGCCCCCGCTTAAGCGGTAGCCAGGGCCCCTTTTCCAGCCAGGCTTGGAAAGAAGGACAACTCTAGGGAATTTGAGAAGTTTGTATACACTTTCCGTAGTCTTAAAGTCACTATACCATTTTCTGATGCTTTGTTGCAGATGCCACATTACGCTAAGTTCGTAAAAGATATAATCAATCGAAAGCGAGCATTTCTGGATAAGACTGCAACGGTACAATTAGAAAGTGTGTGCAGAGCCGTATTTAATAAGGACCTCCCGAAGAATTTAAGTGATCCTGGGATTTTTATTATTATATATACTATTGGAAATCTACAACTGATTAGGGCATTATGTGACTTAGGGGCTAGTATCAACCTTATGTCTTTTTCGTTTTTTAGTAAATTAAGGCTTTGTGAGATTGAATCATGTAGAACTGTAACACAAGTTGCTGATAAATCAATAAGACTCCCGAAAGGGATTATTCGTGATGTATTAGTGCAACTAAACAAATTTATTTTTCCCTGCAGATTTCATAATAATGGAAATGAGCGAAGATCGTGAAATTCCAATTATTTTGGGGAGACCTTTCCTTGCCACCGCTCAAGCAACTATTAACATCGCTCAAGGCAAAATAACATTGAGCATAGGTGGAGATAAAGTCACATTTTCCATGAATAATGCCATGCGCTAACCTCAGGAAAAAAATTGTGATTTTATTAATGAGTAAAATGGATTATCAACTTTTGTGAACTGTTTAACGATTGAAACTCTGGAAGAAATTTCAAAAGAGGGTTCGCGCGAGCTGGAGAATATTCTGGACTTTGGTGTACAAAGCGACAGGATAACACCTCCCACCGAGTCCATTAAGCAAGCAAAGCAAGAGCTAAAAAGTGAATCCTACACTAAGGACGAGTTGAAGAAACTACCTTAGCACCTCAAATATATATACCTTGGCCCGGAAGAGATTTACCCGCTGATAATCTCCACCTCCACGGACCTTAGAGCAGCAACTCCTTGGACTATGGCGCCTCCATCCCGGAACAATATTTCCATAAGGTCAGAAATAGTTGTCTCTATTGGGTTGAAAACAACTACTTCTATTGGACGGTGCTTCAACAAAATAGAGGAAGGTTGCCTCCACAAGATAGAAAGCGACAACTTCCACATAACATGGGATAACTACCTCCATTGGCCCTGGGTTAATAATTTCGTACTGAATATTAGTGGAGGGCCTATGCACTTTCATACTTTATTCAAAAAGCTCCATGGAACAAGCCAACAAGAGGAAAACCGAAGATTCCATGTAACTCGAGGCTGTTGGGGACACATCCCTGTGGACCGGATAGAAGTACGATGGAAAGAAGTTGGAGTAAACGACATATCTGATCCAAAGGCAATGGAAAAAGTTCAGAGCAAGTGAAACCCGATCTAGAGGCAATGAAAGCGGTTGGGAGCTGATGGAAGGAGGTTACCAGGTGGTTGATGGAAAAAGGTTACCAAGTAGTTGGGAGCTAATAGAAGGAGGTTACCAGGCGGTTGAGAGTGATGGAGGAATAATTGGAACTGCTCTTTTTAGTGGGAAGATGAGGTTATTCTATCTTAAAATTAAAACTAGGAAAAAATACATCACACACGCACAAGAAGATGAACTCGTATATTTCTCTATTTCTTTTTCATGTTTTAGTTTCTATTTATGCATTTTAATTCGAATTACATGCTTTTATGTTTCTAGCATATTTTTATCCGTTTTTCAGTAGATTTATCCGATTTTTAGTAGATGTTAGTTTAAATCCATCAAAATCGGCAGTTTAATCTCGAGGCCTTGTTTAAGATCAAAACCGTGCAGGCTCCATCGCAGGAGCCGCCTCCAATCCGACGACGGACAAGCTATTTGGAGTACTTCCAGAACCCACACCGACGAATCGACAAATGGTCTTGGAACCTCCGAATTTTAGGTTCCAACAATTATCTGTTTTTAACCAAATATGGATTCGTTGGGATTTTAAAATCCAAATCCCATGAAATTTCACAAATTCATAAACCACCCAACCCTTAATCTTAATCCTAATCCATAATTGATTTTATTATATAATAATTATATTTATTAATATAATTTTTAATTATTTACTAATTATATTTTACCTAAATTCTCGTATTTACGGTAAATTGGACGCAAAAGGTGGGGCGGAGGGAGTGTATATTTTATTTTTGATTAACTATACTATCTATGTAACAATAAAAATATCCTTACAATTTACAATATGTTACACTAATATTATTATTTTATGTTATATTTTTGTTATTTTATTTTCATTTTTACTATATATAATATGACGGTGGTTAGGATGCTACAACAAACTAACATGAAATAATTAGCAAATTATCACACAAAATATAATCTATTATCGAGTTAGTACATTAATTTAAAATAATTAATAAATCGTAACAAAGAAGATAACTTTCGTTGTGTTTTATAATGTGTTATATATTACTCAATCCGTCCCATATTTTCGTCCCATCTATCATGTTTGTTTTGCTGTAGACACGAGAAATTTAAAAGGAGTATAATTAGTAAATAATTAAAAATGTATTAGTGAAAATAATTATCATATAATAAAAATAATTATTAATTAAAATTAAAATAACAAATTAGTCTAATTAAAATGAAAAAAATTTATAAATTAAAAAATTTAAAACAAAGTGTATAATTCTTTTAAAAAAGAAAAAAATGACAAAATAAGTGGAACAAATGAAAATTGAAAGATAGATACGGTAAAGTGAGACCGATGGAGTATTAAATTATCTTAATCTTAATTTATAATTAGTTTTATTATACAATAATTATTTTTACTATTATATTTCTCAATTGTTTATTAATTATACTTTATCTAAATTATTGCATGTATAGGAAACAGACAGATGGGGAAGCTCAGACTACGGTCTTGGAGCAAGCGGCCGTCTGAAAAAGTGAGATAAAGAGAGTTTATTAGTATTTGCTATTTTATTTATATATATTTGCTGATTGAATAAAATTTTTATTACCCTGAAATTATAATATAATTTGATAAAATCAAAATATATTTTATTCAATATAATTATATAGTGTGCTATTCAATATTATATCAATATTTACTATTTTTTTTATAAACACTTGCTAATTCATATTTCATCGTCATCTCTAAAGGTCACATTTACGTTTTGTTTTTGATCATCGTACTTAACATTAAAAATATTTTTATATTTGTATAACTTTTTTTTTTTTTGTAAAAATATCATTCTATTATTATTAGAAGACACTGATGAAAATATTTTTCTACTTTTATTTATTTATATTATTTATGATATAATAATCAATATTTAAATATCAATATATAAAAAATAAATATGACATTTAAATCGAAAGGTAATATTAATATTAAAATATTTTTCTACAAAAACCAAATGCATACCTTCCAAAGCAACCAAGTGTATTTTAATTTAAATTTTAATACTAGTTAAAAGTATTTTAAAGTCGCATCCATGGTACGGACAAATGGAAAGAAATGAAAAGGAAAGCGAAAAACATAATTGGAATTTAAAGAGACGTATAGCCAAACACGGCCTTCGGTAGGAAAGCACTTTTAGCGGCGGAATATAGTAATGAGTGAGGTAGTAGTGGAGAACAAGGCCGAATCCTATAGCGGCAGCCTAAGCGGTTTTCGCTCATTGGGCCACCACTCTGCTCTCCATTCCCCGAGGAGCGTCCCCCTCACGCGTCCCTCCGGCAACCCAATCTTGCCTCTGTTTTGCTTCAGCTGAGGCGGAGGCGGAGGAGGAGGTAGTGTTAGACGGAGTATGCCTACTCCACAATCGGAGAGGCGGCCGCCGCGGCAAGTTCGGCAATCACCGGGCGGTCCTGGGGCGTCGGCTCGCCCTACTAAGGTGAAATTGAGGACTCTGCTTCGCGTGGCGTCGGTTGCCGGCGGAATTCAGTTCGGATGGGCGTTGCAATTGTCGCTGCTCACGCCGTATGTGCAGGAGCTCGGAATACCGCATGCCTGGGCGAGCATCATCTGGCTGTGCGGTCCGCTGTCCGGTCTCTTCGTGCAGCCGATCGTCGGACACGTCAGTGACCGCTGTACCAGCCGATTTGGCCGCCGCCGGCCGTTTATACTTGCAGGAGCAGTTTCTATCGTTGTTGCCGTGCTCGTTGTCGGTTTTTCCGCCGACATAGGTTGGCTCTTCGGCGATCGTGGACAGATTAAAATTCGCGCTATCGTAGCGTTCGTCTTCGGTTTCTGGATCCTCGATGTCGCTAACAATATGACGCAGGGGCCTTGCCGTGCACTCCTCGCTGATCTAACGGGTACAAAATCTGGGAGCTTTGTCTTCTACATATGACGCAATTACAATTCCATTCCAATAAATTTCACTTTTGGATTTTTGTTACTTTGAGAATTTTTCTAGCGTCTTAGCGAAAATCAATCAATATCACTACTCGCCTGTAATCTTTTAGTGATTAAATATGCAATTTTGTAACTTCAAGATTCCGTTTCATGGTGGCACTCGTCTTTCAGGGGAAGGAAAATGACTGTTAGCTTTCAAAGTTGGAAAAAAATTCAATCAAATTGTTACCTGTTTTATTTATATTTGCAGAATAATTTTTGTGTGATGTTGAGGGAATAGCTTAACGACTGCTGGATAAATTGAAATTGAACCTAATTTCTCCTTGTGGGGCAACAATTCATAGTGCCGACCCCATGACATTAATTTAGGCCTCCAAGGTTTCAGCTATTCTACCAACACCTGAAATTAGTAAATAGGAGCTTTTTGGTATTTGTTACTGGATAATGCTGTTTTAAATCTATAATTTTGTTTTAGCTTTAGATGTTTAATATATTATTTAGTTTTACTAAGTTACAATATTACTTTTATAAATTTAAATAATTACAATTATTAATTTATTACATGTTAATTATATTATTTATAATATATATAAATTTGTAGATCATATTTAATTTGCTGCAGCTATGGATATTTGACTTGGGGTGGGGTGTATTGTTATATTTGCTTCACCTTCTCATGATGTTTGATTTTGGAAAATTGTTATGATTAACTTGTGCTGAATTAATCTGTGCCTTGAACTTACTACTTTATGTTTTCCAGGAGACCCAGGAAATGTTTGTTCGTAAATCAGTTGCATGCATATTTAAATAAATGAATTAATTGGATCACATATATATATATATATATATTTAATTGGAGATATCTTTGAAATGATTCAAGTATACACATCTCATTAATCATTTGCATATCTGAAATTCAATTCAAGTGTGCCCTCTCTAACTCCCTCAAGTTTTGTTGAGTCCGTTCATTTCTGTAAAACCATCCTATTCACTTTATGATATTGTTCCTTTTTGAGATTTTTTTTTTAAAATTCTTTAACATGTGACAATGGATATCTTATATATATATATATATTCACAAAATATGACATCAATTTATTATTTAAATCTGTAGATGTAATGTTTATCAAATCAATAATGTTATAGCTTTTAATGTAACTCTAATTTGATGTCGAAATTTCCCTACACTGTTTTAATTTATTATACCTCCCTGTTATAATCTCTGCATTTACCACTCCAGATTTTCATTGTCTACTGATACAAGAGTTTGGCTTTTCAACTTTTCATGTAGTACATGGATGACTTATGGAAGGTGCAGTGAGTTTCAGTCTGAGTTTCACATATTTTAATAAAACAGAAAAATGGTTATTGCTGCCCTTCATTTAAAGAAGTAGCAGCCATAATGTGGAGTGCATTTTAGATCTAATCATCTTACATTTACAACAATTGCGGGTGTTTTCTTTTTGTGGAAAATACATTTCTAAAAAAATTAATATATTACACACTTATTATTTTTATATTACTTGTACAATTTCCTATATTTCACGTAAAAAATATCTCCTCAAACCATTTCACAAAACAAACAAAGCCTGCATGTTTCCATAGATTTTCATTCTTTCTTACTTTATATGATATCATGTTTCTCGAATAACAAAGTACATTTTGGAATAAGCCTGTTGATGATTAATCCGCCCTTTATGATTTTTGCTCATGCTAGAAAAGGACCATAGGAGAACTCGAGTGGCGAATGCATATTTTTCCCTATTCATGGCTGTTGGCAACATACTTGGATATGCTACTGGATCCTACAGTAACTGGTTCAAGATTTTTCCCTTCACACTTACTCAGGCCTGTGCAGTTAACTGTGCTAATCTGAAGTCGGCATTCATTATTGATACTATTTTTATTATAGCTACTACTTTTATTAGCTTGTCTGCCGCCAACGAACTGCCCCTCACTTCTCATAGTATCTCATCTCATTCTGGTGAAGAAACTTCTCGAAGTTCTTCTGAGCACGAAGCTTTTATGTGGGAACTATTTGGAACTTTTAAATATCTCCCAGGCGTTGTTTGGGTGATTCTTCTCGTTACTGCCTTGACATGGATTGGGTGGTTTCCTTTTCTTCTTTTTGACACTGATTGGATGGGGCGGGAAATATATGGTGGTGAGCCAAATGTTGGGAAAAGGTATGCTGATGGAGTTAGAATGGGTTCACTTGGTTTGATGTTGAACTCTGTGGTGCTTGGGATCACATCGGTATTTATGGAAAAGCTCTGTCGAAAATGGGGTGCTGGTTTCACTTGGGGCATTTCAAATATTCTAATGTCTCTTTGTTTCGTCGGAATGCTCATTATTACCGCTATCAGGAGCAGTTTGAATATAGGCTTCAATCCTCCCCCAGATGGCATTGTCATAGCGTCGTTAATCGCATTCACTGTTCTTGGTATCCCATTAGCTGTAAGTTATTTCATTCTTCTGTTCTTATATAGAAAATGCTTTTGTGTCTACAACTAGGTTAAATTTGTGACGGGGTGCCTTGTAGAATTTCAGCCAATTAATTTTAGATTGATGGTAAGATCTCCCCTGATATTTTACAATATGTTACACAGTGGTCTGCTTGACATCTTTTTAATTGTTCTTTTGGAAATTAATATCACAACAAATAGCATGTAATTCCATACAAAAGGTGATAAGTTGTAGAGTAAAGAGTGGAAGAAGTTTCAAATAGATGACCATGAGATACATCTATTGTGAACTGATGTTATGCTCTATGCAAGGGATACCTTTTAGAAAATGGAGTGTGGGAATTATGAAGAAGCTACACGTCTACCTTTCAGGTCAATCTCAAATATTTATACCTCCAAATCTTACCTGTGTTACTTAACTTACGCAGATAACATATAGTGTTCCATATGCATTGGTATCCACACGTATAGAAGCTTTGGGCCTTGGCCAAGGTTCGTTGGATATTTCTTTTGATTTTGTATTTAGTTAGTCACATTGAAGCATAATTTGTGTGGGGATATTATATTGCAGGGTTGTCTATGGGAGTTTTGAATCTGGCGATTGTAATTCCACAGGTACAATATTTTGTTATTGATTGATTGACTAGTTTACCAATTTCTAATTATATTTCCGTCTATCAGTGATGCAGTATAGATTTTGTTGAGATATTTTAGATATTCAGTTTTAGATTTAGTAGATATATATTCAGATTTGGTTTTATCCATAGATTAAATTATTTAAATTTGAATCTTTCGAGTCCGTTTTATATTGACTATATAAAGGCCCCTTTATTTTAATGATCAATAAGACAATCTTATTATTTTCCTCCAAAATTTTAACATGGTATCAGAGCCTATTTTTCTCATGGGGTAGACATCGCTTACCAACCCTCGTTTCTCCGGGTACATTCAACTGGATTGTACTCAGAGGTCTTGTGATTTTGAGATCTTGCCTTTGTAAGTCTGTCTTTTTGCAAATTTGTCTCTGAAATCTGTCCATTTGCTATCTATCATCTGTCTGTTGCATGCTTGCGATCTCAAATCTATCTGCTATGTGCGATCTGAAATTTGTTTGCAATCTGCCGTCTGTCCGTCCGTTTGTGTGTCTGTTGCCTGAAATCTTTTTGCGATCTGCCATTTGTCCGCTGTTTGTCTGTTGCCTGCGATCTGTTTGGTATTTGCGATCTATCTGTTTCGGCTCCGGTAAAGAGTCATGTTGTTTTCAGCTCCGGTGGAAAGTTATGTCGTTTTCGACTCCTGTGGAGTTGTCACTTTCGGCTCCGGTGAGTCATGTTGTTTTTTGCTCCGGTAGAGATTCATGTTGTTTTTTTGCTCTGGTGGAGAGTCATGTCGTTTTCGATTCCGATGGAGAGTCGACTGTTATTTTATTTGTATTTTTTGCTTTTATATTCAACTTTCTTATCAAACTCAAGTTGATTTTTGTTATACCACTTGAGTTTGAGGGAGATATTGAGATATTTTAAATATTCGGTTTTAGATTTAGTAGATATATATTTAGATTTGGCCTTATCATAGATTAGATTACTTAGATTTGAGTGTATCGAATCCGTTTTGTACTTATATATAGACGTATTTTGATGATCAATAATACAATATCATTATTTTCCCCAAAATTTCTAACATTTGTTTTAATCATCACTTTAATTATACTCCCTTCGTCCACTTTAAAGGTATACATTTACTTTTTACGTGTTAGATCTTTAAATATTAATTATTATAATATAAATTAAGTAAAAAAAGACAAAAGTACTTCTATTAGTGTTTTGTAATACAAATATAATGATAATTTTAATATTAAGTACAATGACACAAAAGGTAAATGTAAACTTTCAAAGTGGACGGAGAAAGTATTATACTAGATACCTTTACAATATATAGGGATTTTGTTTGATAAGAGTAAATGAGAAATAGAAATTTGAACATCCACATTTCCTTGGCTGGTTTTAATCAATAAGACTAAAGTCACAGCTTGGTAAAAAGCTTTCCCAAATATTTCGTAATCAACAAAACTCTTAATGTTAGTACTGCCATCGAAATTTCTCAATTTACTGTGAATTTGTGTCCGTTATCCTTTTTTTTATTTATTATTATTATTATTATTCAAATTAAGGGTATTTACTCATTAGATAACTTACATTTGCATGGAGAACTCTGTGGCCTTAGCAATGCTGCAAGAGTGGATTTTGATGGGAAAATTTTTAATGAAATTAAAATTGCCTCTCCATATGGAAATTATATAATTGGACTTATAGTTGAACTAAGATTGAAACAAGTCTTTCACATGAGATCAAACATGCTTAGCCAATTAATTTTTATGAGCTTTTTTGTAAATAGGTGGCATCTGTAAACTAACGATGGGCACTTCTTGTAAATTCCAAAGCCTGTTTGTGAAAACTGTAGTGTTGTTATTGGGTTTGTGAATTCCTCTTGTGCTCGCTACGAAAACTTACCTACTGTCATTGGTGCTTTGAAAACAGGTTATCGTGTCAGTTGGCGCCGGTCCATGGGATGAGCTATTTGGTGGCAGCAACTCCCCTGCCTTCGTAATTGCAGCATTGGCTGCATTCATTGGCGGGCTTATTGCCATCCTGGCAATTCCCAGAACAAGAGTCGACAAACCCAGAATGCACCATTAGATTTAACATGATCCACCTTCAAAGTTTCTGGCAATGAAAAAATAAAAAAGACATATAGAAAGAGTTGGTGCATGAGAATAAAGAGTTAGAAGACAATCTTCGATATGTACACGTCATATAATACCAGTGCCAGTGCCGCGGTACTGCAAGGGATTGGCAGCAACAAAGATTGCAGAAAATGGCCATATGAAAAGAATGGAAATAGACAAGGTCCTTGGCAGTCATGTGAATGAAGTAAGTTTCTTTTCCTTCGTATTATCTATTTTTGGTTTCTTCTCTATGCCACAAAAAATGTTAAGATACATACATATGTTATATGTACATAATCAAATGTGAAAATACTATAGCTAGTTGTAGTGTTGAGTTTTCAATTTTCGGTTCTACATTTTGCTCTACAATATAATATTGCATGGACAGCTTAATTAATTAATTTTAAGTACACGTATCTTATGGGTTCTTAAGTACGGAAATGGTGCCCGTTTTATAATTGGTCTTGTGTCGTGCAGAAAAGACACAAAAAACAACAACAGAAAAGAAGAGCAGATTTAGGTAGCATTCCATCCAAAATAACTCACAATTAATCCCCCAAATTAACCTTGCCGAGCCTGATTGGCTGCGCAGGAATTTGATGTTTAACTTAAAATCAATTGGTTGGTTGTAAGTAGAGTAGTCATTCACCTCTTATAAGGTAGGAGAATTTTAACATCATATTCAATGTGGGATACCTAATACTCTCCCCTCAAGATGATAATCTCGAAAATATATATATAGAATTTATACCCAATATGAACATCATGGTTCTGACACTATGTTAATAAAGGATCCGGACTTCTAAGTTAATTTTCAACTTAAAGTGGAATAGCTCTTCACCCGTTATAATATAAGATTAGGAGAATCGCAAAATCATATCCAATGTGAGATACCTAACAATTGTGACCTTACCGTCCATCCCGGGCAGGGCTAGTCAGTCAGCATCTATATAATATAATATATGCCGCCACCACGGTCAGGGCCAAATGGGCAGTGAAGATGAATTTGGCAGCTTGGGTAATGTTCGGCTGGTGAAGATGGGTGTGGTGGACTTTCTGCCGGATACTCGGTCATTCAAGTCTATCTTAGTTTTGTTTTTACCCTTGTTATAAAACAATAATATTTTTGTTTATATTTGTATTTTTAGTAAAAAAACTATTACTTCCTCCATTTTTGGTTAATTTTGTCACAATGTCCGGGCACGGCTAAATAGGATACATAAAAAGTCAAATAGAAATATTGTAAAAAATATAGAGTTAATATTAAAATAGTGGGATTAATGAAAAAAAAAAATAGCAATAAGATAGAGGTAATGAAATTATTAGTACTAAATTATATATAAATATAATGGACAACCGAAACACAAAATATGCCATAATTATCTCGAAGGATGGATTGTTATTATTATTATTTGGCAAAAAATAAAAAATAAAAAATACACACCAACATTAAAATAATATCTCCATCCGGCTCTAAAGGTCTATTTATTTTTGCGTGTTGATTTTTGAATATTAATTATTATATTGAAATATAGTATAAATTTAAAAAAAAAATTGCAAAAATACTTACATTAGTGTCTTGTAATACTAATAAAAGAATATTTGTAAAAACAAATTATAAAAATATAAAAATATTTTTAATATTAAATACAATTACGTAAAATATAAATAAAACCCTTGGAGACGACCGCAAGAAGTATGTGTTAAAAAATTTGAACACCAAATTACGGTGGAAGTATCTCATTTTGAGGTGGCATGTAAATGAAAACCGTGTATGACGTTTTTATGGGCTCAGACTTGTTGGGATGAGGGGTTTGGATTTAAAATATAAATATAAATTGAATGGTTTTACAATATTTGGAAATGAAATATATGATAATTGATTTCCTTTAAAAATCAGGTGAGTTCTTCAATTTCTTTACGGAAGTATTTGAAATTGGAATTGGGGAAATAATTCTTGGCTGAAACTGAAAATAAAATGGGTTAAATGCTGAAATTAAACTGAACAGCTAGAACTGGAATTGTAACCAAGTGAATGAACTTAAAGCTGAAATTAGAATTTGAATTGATAAAATGCAAAAAAATGAAATTAAACAAGTAATTTTAGATGAAGTATGGATCGAGTGAATGCTGATCATCGGCTGCCCTTTTTATTTGCCAAAGTTGTTGTGGGAGTATCCAATTTACAATGAATTTAGTCAACATCTCTACTTTCAATTTGATCTACTTTTCCTTCACGATAACGCGGATTCATTCAGATTGATTTTAGTCGGACGAAACCCTTAGTCGGATGAATGTATTATATTGAGATAAAGTAAAAATAAAGGTAAAAATACTAAATTAACCCTATTAGTATTGTATAATATTAAGGCAATGACATTTGATTATATTATTATAAAAAATATAATAATATATAAGAATTTTAATTATATATTAGGACACAAGTAAAATATTTTTCTAGATATTCGTTCAACAAGAGATAACTTGTGGTCTAGGGTGAACTCGTGATCACCGGATTCAAATTTTGCCTGCCAAAAATTTTTCTAAAGCGCAATTAATTGCCATGTCATTAATATATATATTGTTAGTGACATAGATTAGGATCATCTCCATGAATCAAACTTGAAGACAAGTATCTAATATGTATTCGGGAACTTACAAATGCTGAATCGAAAATCGAAATAGAAATAGGATAAGTTGAATTCCAAAAGCAATCACTCCTCTCGAGCAAGCACTTTCAAGAATCCACAGACTGTCCGAGGCTGCCGATGCATCTTCCATCTCTCACGCAATTGCATCCGAAGCTCAACAATCGAATTGCCCTCTCGGCGGATGGAATCACTTCAACTCTAAGGAATCTCTCCAAAGCTAAGTAAACCCTATCTCAAATGTTCTCATCTAAGTTGTGTGTGCATCAAGAAAATAAACAAGGCTATATATACTAAATGACAAATTAATCTAAGCCACACATCTTAAGTGGCAAGCTAATTTAAATCACACATTTTGATTAAGATCAAAGGATCACAACCTCCAAGCAAACAAGTAGCTTCGACCGAGTTCGGGTTGCAATCGGTCCGTCTAAGTTCGGGTTCGGGTGATCCGGAGCCGTGTCATCCTCTCCCCCTTCGGCTGCCTTATCCTCAAGGCTATTAGCATTTTCGGCTGCCTTGTGCTCAAGGCTAGTAGCATCTTCAGCGTGATAAAAAAGGCTCAAATCGGCAACGTTGAAAGTCTCATTCACACCCAAGTCTTCCGGAAGTGCAATCCAGTATGCGTTATCGTTTATGCGCTCCAACATACGAAATGGACCAGCTCCATGAGGAGAAAGTTTCCCACGCCGCAACTTCGGAAAGTGTTCTCTACGCAAATGTACCCATACCCAATCTCCGGGTCGAAATATTATGCGTTGTCTTCCGCGATTGGCATAGCGTGCGTATGTCGCGGCCGCCTTATCAATGTTCTCCCGTACTTTGGCATGTAATTCCTTGATTGATGTAGCTCGATGCCTGCCACTAAAATTCAAATGCTCGCTACTAGGTAGTGGCAACATATCGATAGGAGTTAGAGGATTAAAACCATAAACAACCTCAAACGGGGACAATTTAGTAGTAGTACTAACATGCCTATTATAAGAAAATTCAACATGTGGTAGGCATTCATCACATGTTCGACCACTATCATGTACCATGGCACGTAGAAGATTACCTAATGTATGATTGACCGCCTCAGTTTGGCCATCAGTCTGGGGGTGACACATGGTAGAGAAAAGTAAGCGCGTCCCAATTTCATGCCAAAGACTTTTCCAAAAATAAGATACGAACTTTACATCCCTGTCAGATACAATAGTTTTTGGGACCCCATGCAATTTCACAACCTCTCGAAAGAAAAGCTTTGCCACATGACTAGCATCTGTCGTTTTCGCACAAGGTATAAAGTGAGCCATCTTGGAAAATCTATCAACCACAACAAAAATTGAGTCTTTAGCACGCGGTGTCCGAGGTAAACCAAGAACAAAATCCATAGAAATATCTAACCAAGGGCCTTCTGGAGTGGGAAGAGGAGTATACATACCATGTGGCTTCAAAGTACTCTTCGCCACTCTACATGCAAGATACTTATCAACAAAAGAATCAACATGTTTACGCATATGAGGCCAGTAAAAGTGAACGCTAAGAACATCAAATGTAGCATGTCTACCAAAATGTCCAAGAATATGACTACCATGACTCTCCTCAATCAAAACATCTTCAATGCTACATCTAGGAATGCACAATTTATCACCATGAAACAAATAGCCATCATGCTTATAATAATCATCAAAACCATGCTTCTCACACTTCCTAAATATATCACCAAAATCTACATCATGCTCATACAACTCATAAATATGTGAAAATCCAACCAAATGTGTACGAATATGATTAAATAAAACATACCTCCGAGAGAGTGCATCAGCAACTACATTCTCTTTCCCTTGTTTATACTTAATCAGATATGGAAATTGCTCAATAAAGCTTACTCACCGAGCATGATGCTGATTGAGTTGCTGCTGCCCACGTAAATGCTTGAGGGTCTCATGATCCGTGTGAATTACGAACTCCTTTGGCAGCAAGTAATGTTGCCAAACTCTCAGGGCTTGCACAACCGCATATAATTCCTTGTCGTATGTCGAGTAATTAAGGGCTGCTCCATTGAATTTCTCACTATAATAAGCAATCGGTCGCCCTTCCTGTAATAGTACTGCACCGATACCAACTCTACTAGCATCACATTGGACTTTAAAAGCTCGTTCAAAATGAAGTAGTGCCAAAACCGGAGCATGTGTCAAACTATCCCGAAGCTTCTCAAAGGATGTTTCGTGACTTGCCTCCCACTTAAATGGAACATTCTTCTTTAAAAGGGAGGTCAATGGGGCTGCTATCACACTAAAGTGTGGTACGAATCGCCTAAAGAATCCACACATTCCAAGGAACCTCCGGACATCGGCCACACTTGTACATTTTCTCCATTCCCGAATTGCAGGAATCTTAGATTCATCAACCTTAAGACCATCTGCACCTACAACAAAGCCAAGGAAAATAATTTCATTAGTGCAGAATATGCATTTCTTTAACGTACCATACAATTTAGCATTTCTTAATGCATGGAAAACTTGCCTAACATGTCCTAGATGGTCCTCCAAACAAGTACTATAGACAAGTATGTCGTCTAAGTATACCACCACAAACTTTCCAATAAATTCTCTCAATACATAGTTCATCAACCGCATGAAAGTGCTGGGCGCGTTTGTCAACCCGAATGGCATGACTAGCCACTCGTACACCCCAAACTTAGTTTTAAAAGCTGTTTTCCAC